TATCTACTGTCGTGTAGAGATTCACAAAATTAAACATGCGAAATAAAAGTTAATATATCAAAAAACAAAAACCGACCTTAAAACATTTTCAACGTTACGACTCAAAAATTTAAAACAGTTATATTGTAAAATAATTTTTTTCTGTGCTGATAATTAAAAAGAAAAAAAATGTCACTACTATTTAAAATTTAAAAATTTGTATTATTATTTTATGAAGTTGAAAAATAGTTCGTCAACTTTAATGGAATTGAATTTAATTATTAAATACAAGTGATATACTTATGGCATATTAGGACATTTAATAAAGATGGTACTAGTGTCCCAATAGCCGACAGAGATAAATGTAGAGCATACGGACACGACAGTCGAGAAGAAAGAGAGTTACGATAAATAATTTTTTGAGTGGTAATTCATAAGTAGAAAGGGACGGTAGGCTCAAATGTACTGTGCTGGCAGGTGCTAAGGACGGAGGGGTTAGGTTATTAATTATTGTGTGATATTGGCTTAGGTCTTATTTATTAGGAATGGCCCGATCATTTTTTTCTTGGTTTATGTCTGCTGTTTGCCGCTGTAGCAAGAACTCCACCGGAATGGCGGAGAGCATACCGGGCAATTTTGGACCTTTTTTTACAGAAATGGTACCTTTTTAAACCAATTTTGGTACAGAAAAAAATTTTCAAGTGGCAACCGTGCCTGCAATATAAGTATGAAAAGAAACGAATTCGCAGGATGACAAAGACACGTTATAAATGTTATGAATACAGTGCTATTGAAATAGCACCCATATTTTATTGCGGAAAGCTACCAGCGATATATCGACACTACTATTATGTAATCTAGATTATGTAATCTAGATTATGTAATCCAGATTATGTAATCTACGTAATCAAATTGAAACTGTTTTTTTTTGATAAAAATATCTTGTTCCAGAGACAATCGTAGTGAAACTAAAAGACAAACCCTGGCTTCACAACCAGAAAAAAGTTAAGTCTGAAGCACGGTTGCCACTTGAAAATTTTTTTCTGTACCAAAATTGGTTTAAAAAGGTACCATTTCTGTAAAAAAAGGTCCAAAATTTTTCTATTGTCTTTTTATAAGAAAATACAAATTTAATAAAATGTACAACAAGTATAAAACAATACATTAAGACCGAAAAGTTTTCGGAAATTCTCATTTAAAATTCGCGCGCTGTATATTTTTCGATATTTTAAGTTTATGTAGTTTGGCAGCAATTAAGGACAATTAATATGACAAAAATGAGCGCGATCTGTCAGACAGTTCGTTTACGGCAGCTGTTGAAACCAGTTCACCTCAGTAGTGCGTTGCGAAAAAAACAATGGAAAAAAATATTGAACAAAGAGTTTGCATCAAATTTTGTGTTTCGAACGAAATTTCGTGTGCAGAATCGTTGCGAATGCTACAAAAGGCTTATGGGGAATCAGTTTTATCGAAAACTCAAGTTTATGAGTGGTACAAAGCCTTTCAGGACGGTCGTACGACCGTCGAAGACATTTCGCAACGCACTACTGAGGGGAACTGGTTTCAACAGCTGCCGTAAACGAACTGTCTGACAGATCGCGCTCATTTTTGGCATAGTAATTAAGGACAGTGCTGCCAAACTACATAAACTTAAAATATCGAAAAATATACAGCGCGCGAATTTTAAATGAGAATTTCCGAAAACTTTTCAGTCTTAATGTACAAGTTACATTTATAAAAAAAATTAATTGAAAATATCCACAATAAAGTTGGGTCGCCGAAAATGTACCATTTTTTGAACATGAGTACCAGAGTACCAAACGGAAAAAAAAGTACCAATTTTGGTACTAAAGTACCATAAGTGGCAACCGTGGTCTGAAGTAAAATTCAAAAATAAGCTATAACCGTATATGTATCGATTTCAGTATCAACTTTATAGTTTATATTAAAATTATTCACAGCACCATTAAATAACATTATGGATATTTATACACCGTGACAGCATAAATAGTAAAGATAGTGCTGTTTAATAGCAATAATGAGAAACGATGTGCCACATAAAATTCTCATGCGTTTGAGAAATGATAGAATAAACTTTGAATAAGATCATTTTGTAATATGACATAATCAATATTTGAATACGCGTTACATTTCTTTACTTCGTTATAGAAGACTTACTGCCTACTGCCTTCCGAAAATCCGACTCTCGAGTTTTTACTAATTCCTGACTTTTATCTGTAGAAATAAAAATAAATTTTTCTCAGAGTTCTTATTTTATTAATCTTATTTTATTTATTTGTTTTAATTATTGGTATTTCTATGTGAATTTTCATCACTAATGCTTAATGCTTAAATATTTCTTCATAACTTTGGTATTTCCGTTCCGAGAATCTACTCTTGGCGATAGGGGTAAGTCGTAATATAGCAAATGAATTTATATCTATTAATTCTACTTTTAGAGATTTTGTTAGATGCTCAGAAATCATAGTGATATTATTCTCATATAAACAATCAGCCAAAGCGGTGGGCTTGACAATTAATAATAAAAAATCGTAATACTTAAGTAATCGTCAATCCGCAAATCACCTTATTCAAATAAGTGACAACAGTTTCGAGCAAGTTGAACTCTTCAAATATCTTGAATCAGTAACAAACCCAACGAATAAATGCAATCAGAAAATAAATGAAAGAATAAAGGCAGCAAATAAAAACTTTTGTAGACTAAATAAAGCACTAGGTTCAAATACACTTACTTAAAAGTCTGAATTAAGAATATATAAAATGCTGATATCTCCAATCTTAATGTATGATGCAGAGACTTGGACTATGAAAAAATCTGATAAAAATAAGCTAGATATCTTCGAACACAAGATTATACGTCGCATATTTGGCCCAATTAGAGAAGAAGACTGAGATTTAATGACGAATATCAAAAAAGGCTAGGAGAACCATCAATAAACAACAGAGTAAAACTAAAGCTATTACAACGGGCTGGATATATTCAAAAAATGAACATAAACAAGTCAACAATAAAAATATTTCAAAATGCACCAAAAGCAAGATGAAAAAGAGAGCGTCCGAGTTTACACTGGATAGCGAATGTGGATCAAACAACAGAACAACTTGGAAGAAGAAACTGGAGAATATTAGCACACGACAGAGATGCGTGCAAGAGATTTCAAAGAGATTCAACTAGAACCGTTGCGCCACTAATGATGATGATAATGCGTTTTAAACATTTTGATCGGAATTCGATTCATTGACTGAATAAGAGCCAATAATGTCAAATGATCCACATTGTATTTAAAATCTTAAACGTTATTAAATTTTGCGTTTAAGATGCCTTACTCAGTAAGATATATTTCATAGGATGCATCAAATACCATTCCAAAAATTTGTGTTCTATTTAAGGATGCGCTAAGTTTACATTTCAGTTAACAAGTACTTTAAATATATCATCAATTGATGGAATTTACCATATCTGTAAACAGATACTCAACCGATAAATAACTTCTGTTTTTACTATTATTATGTAGGGAGTACCAAACTAAACACCGCTACTCTGTGGGTCAATACTGTAGACCTGATTTATCTTAATTAATTTTTAGATATTTTATGAAATTAAACACATTGTATGATTTTTTTTTGTATTATATGTGGTGTAGCTAACAAATCCGCCCCCAAGATTAGATTAGATTTAAAAAATGGGTTGGGAACTTGTCACCACGTCACTGCATCATTTAAGAATTATTGTGGCATACCAACTTTAGTTCCATAGACGAGTCCTCAAGATACTCAAACCTATTGCTGGACAACTTTTGTTATTTACAGAGAACTTATTCATATGCTTCAACAAACATTTCACAGAAGCATTAGGTATTGGTCTCTGAAGAATTTTTTTATTGATGTTATACCAAAAAATTCCATATCTTGTCAGAACGTCTGTACTCAGTCTAAATAGTTACCTATAGGCTGTTTTTTAAGAGTTTGAGTTTTGTAACATTCTCAGTTCATAGGTGATTTATATCTTTATAGAGAATCTTCTCAAAACCTCAGTTTTTTACAACGCGCCCTTACTCACTTCCAAAGGCACTGAGTAAATCAGTTCCATTTAATTAAAATTGCGTTTCACTGAAAATAGGAATTGAGTGTCATTTAGAAAAGAAGTCAGCACTCCTTGCTTTTGTATCCTTTATGTAATGAAACCCGCACTTACACTATTACATACTATGTATAACACAAATTTTTTTGAAGAACTAGAAATAGAACATTTTCTTTATACTAAAAAGTTTGTGAAAATATTTATTCTTTCGTTAATAAGAGAGCTCGTTATATTGGCTATTTGTTAAACTGGAGTCTGAGAAATTCTTCATACTAAGTTTCAACTTTTAAATTGATTAAAATAAATATAAATTTATAATCAGATCAGATACTTTGAAGACCAAGGCGAATCAAAAACAACTTCTCCTATCGGTAGGTAGGTATGGTTGCATGTGCATTGTGTACCTGAACAGTGAGTTGAGTTCCAACAAACTCCCAGTACACGTGATATGTAGAGGCTTGAACATGACAGAAACCTCGGATTTCTTACGTATTTTATTCGATTTTGTACTAAAAAGGATTCAAAGCCTTTTTTTCATTTTTACATTTTTTACATTCGAAAACTTAACGACAAAGATGAAAACAAATAAATTTCAAACGAAAATACATAACATACTCTCATAAATAATAATCTTTTACTTTCTAGATTTTGCTTCTTACATAAACGTATAAACGTATAAACGTATTAACGCATAAACGCATTACCGCATAAACGGATAAACGTATAAACGAAACCTAATAAAATATTGAGACACTCGCAATGGAGATACTCACATTTAAATAAATTTTTATAAAAATAATAAATATAAACCTTTGATTGCTATTTATATATCTTTTAATTTCAGTTTCACATAATCCTTTGCGCTTTCTTTAAAAGAAAGCAGAAGTCAGTAATTTTTTATTCTATTTCGCTAATAATATTTTATTTTTATAAAATGTTTAAGTATTTAACATGAATAATTTAATTGTAGTTAAGTAACAACGTTTAAATATTATAAGTAACTAATTTTTGTTCAGGTTATTTGTAATCGCAAACAAAAATAAATACTCGTACGAATGGTCGGTTTTGATTTTCTAGTTCATAACTTCCTCATCATAAGCTGCAGTAACATAGATATCCGCATTCTCATCCGGACAAGGTAGAATCCTCAAAAACTGTTTATCTGCTTCTTAGTAATTTTGTAATTTGCAATCCTTGTGCTAATAATGATTATTTATTTTTAATATAATTTTTACTTTTTCTAAATTTTAGGTATGTGTTTGTGTGTTTGTATGGATGTGTTGGTTTGTATTGATCCCTCGCTTGATTTTTGTTTCATTTCTTCAAAGTTCTAATGTCTGGGTCTGGGTTGAAATGTCTAGGTTGGCTAAAGAGGTGCAAGGAATGGATTGGTGCTGTGTAGTGGTGCTTTGCCTTGGGGAACTGGTAAGTCTGGCGATAGTGGTTTTGTTAAGTTAGCAACCCATTCTGTGTCAAAGGGGTCTACAGCGTTTGGTGCTGAGCTTAACGATTGTGCTTGACCCGTTACAGCACAGAGTGGTGCACGTTTAATTGGTACTGGTGAAGTACTTTTGACTACTTGACCATACCAATGATCAGCATTGGGTAGTGGCGCAACTACTTCAACCGGACATACAGTCATTGTTACTGGCGCTGCTATTGTTGTTGTTGGTGGTGTTAATATTGCAACGGCATTTGTTGTTGGCGTTATAACTGCTTGAGATGTCGTTTCAGTTGAATTCATTGGTGGCGAAGTTCTGGAAACTGGCGAAATGGAGGCAATTCGCGGCGTTACTTGTGCAGTAGGTGTACTATTAGTGCTGCTTATTCCAGTAGCAATATACCCATAACTGTTTGATATTATAGGCGATGCAGTAACTATTTTCTGTTGTTGTTTTTCAGCTGCAATAATATTCTGATTAATACTTAAATTATTATTGAAATTAAGATCGTCTCCAGTGCCAATCAATGTGTCTGTTTGTGTTAGTAATGACAAGCCTTGGCTCAGCTCTTGACATAGCTGACTTACTGTATCAACTGTTGTACTACTATCGATTTCTGTATCAAGTCTTGCTTTGGCCGGTGAGACTTCTGGTATAGGTGAAACACCACGATTGGGAGTAGTTAAAGCAAGTGTGTTGGTATTAGCTGTTAAGAATGCTTTTTGCCGCTCTGCATTGGACGGAAGATCATTAATACGCAACGACATTTGTCGTTTGAAAGGCGACTGACTACCGATTGTGCTGAAGGCTCGAAATGAACCCTGCCTTTCTAGCATGGCTGCTGTAGCATGAGGTCTTTCAATGGCAAATGGATTGTATAGTTTTGCCTGTAGCTGTGGTGGAACTGCCACTTCATGTGTGTCGACACTACGTTCATTACTTGCCAAACGTTCAGTTAGAGTTTGCTGACGAAATGAGCCAGTACGTGTAAAATTTGCACTTTTTGCATCAAATGTCATTGTTACACCACACTCCTTTTTCCGACGTTGTTTACGTTCCAAACAAACGGCAAACGCATGACCAAAAGCATGCGATAGACGTTCACCAATGTCCTTGCATGAAAGAAAACCATGACACATCCAACGACGAGTAGTACCCTCTCGGCATATATAGCTAAATCCACGTTCATGATTACGATCTGGCGCACAAAAACTCACTTTCTCAATGGTCTGGTCAACAATAAGACCTTTCGTTTTATCATCGACTACACGAAAACCATCCCCACTTATATGAAGCATGCCACGAACTGGACGAACAGGATTGGAATTCTGTAAAAATATCAAAAAAAACGTAATTAACTGTCATTTTATTATATATAAATTGTAGTTTTCACTTTTTTTCATCTAACCACCAATTTAATGGCACTATTAAAGTACAACTAATCGATTCTAAATTTATAAATAGAACAACAAATAGAAAAATTATTTAAGAGAATGAGTTTGTACAAAATAATACTTAGATTAGAAGCCTTCATTATCTTCTCTACTTTCAATTTTATTTTTTGTTTTTCTCTACACATATCCATCCAATATTCCTCATGTACAATAATGTAATCTATTAATGTTTCGTTATCCTGTCTATTATCTTTCATATAAGTGATGTTTATGTAGATGGTATCTAAAGTTACCTTAGAAAGCTTAAGAGCAAAAATTTTAAACTACAAGGAATATCTATTTAACATTAAATATGAATAAGTATTTAGTTAAAAAAAAAATAAAAAAAATAAATAAATAAAAATAGATCTTTACTGTCAGTACTGGAAAAAAAAATTTATAAAACAAATATATAAAAATAACTATGAAATATATCAGTATAGACCTTAATGGATATGAAAACTTGCCATAATAGTTCTTCTACTCCACTTCTACTTTTTTAATATTCTTTAGTGAATTTTCTTACATATTATACGATCATTCATATTAACAATGTTTCTCTACCTCTAAGACCGACAAACTTATAATTAAATAAATAACGGTCCATTAATATTGCCAAATAGTCCATTATATAAGTATGTAATTTATTTGTAAGTTATAAACTTATAAGTTATAAAATAACTTACCCTTAAAACTTTCAAGGCCTCCTCGCAAACTAGTATGCCGCGCGATTCAAATACCTCAACACAACCTAAATATTTTACAGGGAATGAACATGTTGCTGAACGAACAGCTTCTTCATCTGCTTGCCATTGATGTAGTATCGATGACTCAGTTACCCAATCATTTCTTCGTCGAAACGACTCATGAAAACATGGTTGCGAGGGATCCATTTTCTTTGGTGACTTTCTATTAAATCGAAATGATGCGGGCTTCTATAAAAATGTAAATCAAGGACAATAATCAATTCAAAATGTTTCACTATCAGAAATTTAGGACAAAATGTTAAATGAAACGAATATAAATTTTTCTTAAACCTTACATATCTACACATACTGAGATATAACCTACATTTAAATCTTTGACACCTCTTGTAAAACCATGTTCAAGTGGTTCACGAGAGCTTGACGACGAGTTTCCCATTTTTCAATTGATCTAATTATCTTCTAACCTCTAAGTATAACAGTTTAACACTTCCTAAATATAACAATTATAAGAACTCGAATGAACTGTTATTTTCAACCGCGATAGTAAGAAAGTCACCGTACCGAGTCTCTTCTACTCCCGGATTTCTATTATTTCTATTAAACTACCCAATTTTGAAACCGACTAATATACCAACTGAATTTTTTCTACGCTAAAAAAACCAAATTAATATATTATCTAACAAATTTTTTTTTTTAAGTCAAAATTTTTAACTCATACTTTCTGTCACATTTTTTATTTTCTCAACGATTACTGCGTAAACATTTCAAACAATAATATTAATAAAATTGATATTTGCATAATTTAAAATTAAATTTAAAAAAAACATTTTCGCATACTTATCAGGCAGTTCAACTGACCCTAATAATAAACCCCAAAAATTTTTTATACACATCCTTAAAAACTTGATTCAGCTCTTATTGAGCTTTTATTGAATTCCAAAATGGAATTACCCACAATTGAATTAACTACAGTACTAGAGTTGGTCATTTCAGCAGATGCATGTATTTGTAGGAATTCCGAATAGAGGATTCCTATATTTTAAAAAACTTACAAAATCTGAACAGTCTGCGAAGTCCTATATCATCGTATTGCAAAGTCTACAAAGCCTTGATTAGTTAATGCATGTCGAACTAATTTCGGTCACATAGTGAGAAGGGGAACAACCTTAACAAAATTGCTTCCCGTTTAGAGAAAGAAAGATAGGTGAATTTTGAACAACCTGATACACTACAACAAATAATATAGATTTATATAACACATCTACCATTTCCCAGTTTGATAGTCCTCTTGTTTATACAGTCATATAGTTTTAAATTTTAAATTATTTTTATATAGTTTTGTATTTTTTAATTTATTTTTATAATAATTTTTTTTGTATTTTAAATCATTTTTTTATATAGTTTTTTGTATTTTAATTTATTTTTATAATTCAATATATTAAATTTTTTTCTAAACTGATGTTAAACCAAGGCTCAAAGTTTCTTAAAAGCTCACCTTACACGTGCTTTATACTTATCCAGCGGTCGTGAGAGCGAGAGCGTGAAAGCGAAATGTTGCCAGATCTCTCCCGCATAATCGCTGTAAAAATCACATGTAAAGATCGCTTTAAAGTTCTTGGTTTAGTGTACCCACTTAGAAATCAATGTCAATATGTCAATATGTGACTATATAATAGGTGTACCGGTACAAAGTGAGGGTAAAGATACAAATGTTCCGACAGGGAACATGTGAAATATATATTTAGTATACATCAAGTCATTGAACAGACAACATCATATTTTTTCATCGTGTTAAAAATGTCGAATTTTGTACCAGAAAGTGATGATTTGCGGAAAGCATTAATTTTTTGTTTTCATTTGAAGAAAAGTGGTGCAGAGTCGCATCGAATGCTTGTCGAGATATGTGATCATGCTCTATCGAAGCAAATGCAAAAGATGGTTTCAACGGTTCAGAAATAATGATTTTGATGTGAGAAATGAAGAACGTGGAAGACCGCCAAAAAAGTTTGAAGACGCCGAATTGCAAACGATATTGGATGGAGATGACACTTTGGGTCAAAAGCAAATAGCAGAAATGTTAAATGTTGCACAACAAACAATTTCTGACCGTTTAAAAGCTATGGAAAAGATCCAAAAGTGTGGAAAATGGGTGCCACATGAATTGAATGAAAGACAGATGGAAAACCGAAAAAACACTTGTGAAATTTTGCTTCAAAGACACGAAAGAAAATCGGTTTTGCATCGGATTGTTACTGGCGATGAAAAATGGATTTATTTTAAGAATCCTAAAAGGAAAAAATCATGGGTTAATCCGGGACAACCATCAACATCGACTGCAAAACCAGATCGATTCAGCAAGAAGACAATGCTGTGTGTTTGGTGGGACCAGAAAGGTGTGGTGTACCACGAGCTCCTAAAACCTGGTGAAACCGTCAATGCTGGTCGCTATGAACAACAAATGATAAATTTGAACCATGCATTGATCGAGAAACGACCAGAATGGGCCAGAAGACACGGCAAGGTAATTCTGCTCCATGACAATGCACCTGCACACAAAGTAAAACGGGCTCAGGATGCAATCAAAACACTTGGCTGGGAGCTGCTACCCCACCCGCCGTATTCACCAGACTTGGCTCCTTCCTACTACCATTTGTTTTCATCGATGGGACACGCATTGACTGAGCAGCACTTTGATTCCTACGAGGAAGTCGAAAATTGGGTGTCTGGTTGGTTTGCTTTAAAAGACGAACAATTTTTTTGGCGTGGAATCCACAAATTGCTAGAAAGGTGGTCAAAATGTGTAGAAACCAATGGCCAATACTTTGAATAAATTGTTTTTTACTTTCCTATTAATAATTAGTGTTTTATTTTTACCAAAAAATGCTCATTTCATACCGGTACATCTGGTAGACCTGTTTCATAGTCAGGTTTAGCAGACAGATTTATTTCAGGATTAGCTTCCTCTGATTTCTGATTGGTGTTACACTTTAAAATACTTTTTCATAGAAATTGATTTTTGTCAGACGAAAAATCAAAAGCTATTATAAGGAGGGTTTTTTGGAATGATAAAATTGAAGTTTTTATTGTACCATTTTGCTTAGAAGTGTTGTGTCTTTCTTGGTAAAGTTGTAGCAATGATTTTGTTTTACTTTTCGCCTTTATTTCTTATGAACTGGGAACATGCCTTATTCTGTGTTCTTTCGCTTCGTGACCCATACCTTTGTATTTGTTTCTATATGAAAACACAAGGCATAGTAACACTGTTATCTATTTAGGCAGATATGTGGACCCATTAAGATAACCCCCTTTCAGAGAACTCAATCCCTATTTTGACTATAGTTTTCAGAAATGTTTGCATATGTTTATTTCATTTCGTGATGACTTCTTTAATGTGAGCAAAATAAATCTTTTATTTATAATCTCTAGATCATATCGAAATACAAGAATCAAATTATTTTAAAATGTTTTTATCCATGGAAACTAAAAGTGAATTGTATCAAAAATTTTCTTTTTAAACTCGATTGCATTATCCTGTACCATTTGTGGCAATACTGAAACTTGACCTATAAACAACAAACAATTACACTTTAGTATCTTTAAATTTTAAAACTTTTTATTTATTTAGAAATTTCATCTAATTACAGAAAGTAATATTGTAGAAACTTGTTCAAATCAAACATACTCGATATGTACGATTTAAGGAAGAATTTTGAAGCGCGTCTCTCACATTGATGACGGCGTCGTTCTCAATTTATACAATACGTAACGTATCAGTGTAAATATATGTACAATAACAATAAAATATATTTCAAAATATACATACACATACATAAATACATTTATAAATTTACATAGAAAACTTCAGTTGTAATTCAGTTATATATGTTATTCTTACTATTTTCTTTCAATATTGTTTATCGTTAGTTGTATAATTTGTATATTCGTTAAGCATATCTACTATTGCTAATCACTTTTAAAGTTCTAACAATTTTAAAATTTATCGAAAAAGATTTCATTGTGCATTTAATTCAAAATATCTTAGGTGCAGTACATTTTAAATAGATAATTCCAAAGCACGGATCTTAATCCCAAAGTTTGTATTCTCATGCAGTCATGCAGTTCTGCTCAGAGTCATGCAATTAAGATCTTTAGTATAATATCTAAATATGAAACACTTGTAAAGCAAAAAGGCATTAAAATTAGATAATTGTATATTTTCGTATATTCTCTTATATCGGAATAAACCTTAACCTTACGTGCATGTACATATATAGTTTTCTATATAATAAAACAATTTGTAGAAAACTCAACTTAATATTGTATATGAGTTTTTTCTTTATTTAATTATGTACTCATATGTATGTAATCATTGAGATGGTCATATATTAATGCGTGTGTCTAAATAATAAATAAAATGGAATCAAAGGAAACTAAAAAATGCTTTCATTACTGAACGTTCTCTACACCCATTTTAAATTATTAACTTGCGCTCCTGACAACAGAACCGAAGAGCTAATAGAACACCAACTAAATCGAACCCATTTAGATTTCAAAAATATTTTTCCTATTCAAACAATATTATCCAAAACTATATAATTGGATTACATACATGTAATCTTGTGATCTTTCGATATCCATGTATTTACTTTATACTGAATTAATAACTCACTTTTCTGCCTTGATAAACGTTGACAATTATATCTAATATTTTTAATCTGAGCAAATGTTGTACAGTTTGATAAATGTAATGATCTGAGAGATAGAACATTGAAAATGCTATACATAAGGAATGAGATACGATTCCTATTCATTTTCTTCAACCTTCTGCAAACCTCCTTAAATGATATAAATAAGAGTTCCATGGAGCAGTCATTGGGTTTATTTATGAATGAAAGTTCAATTTTTTTAAATTCAAAAACCAATAAGCAAAGTTTTAAAGCTTTATGAGTCGCCAATGTCGTCCTCTCTGACTCTCTAGAAGAAACAACAAGCAACATCAAGATATTGAGAATAAGTGCAAGAACAGGAAATCAAATAATCAGCCACGTGATGTATTGTATGTATTATCGGTCTATTATTGGACGTTTCTCTCTAAATTTCGAATTCAATTAATTTGACTTAAAATTTAGAATTTGATTTTTTCTTGTATGTGTAACAGTGTTAAACAATTCAATCTACAAATAAAAGTTTCAGTAGAAAATAATCGCCAAGATTTTTAATGAAATATTAAAAACGGATTGAATTCACTTCTAGAACCGTTATTTCGTTAAATTACAATAATATTTTCGAACAATATTAATTACTTCAAATTTTTTGAAGATTGATATTTAAAGCATTTAAATATATTATGAGGTTATATTATATATTAACATATCATTGAAGTAGACAAAATCACATGTCAATCATCTATCTAATAATCTAAACTACTAAAAGTCTGTTTGAGGGGTCTGTTTTCTTTTAATATTGACTAATCAATCCTATATTCTGTAATAAAGAAATATAGCTATACATATTTATTATAGATATATCTATATATTACCTGAATAGCAATGTAAGCACGATTGCAACTTTTTAATACCATTTAAAAAGTAAATCAAAAGGAAAATGAAGGACTACTATTTTTATATACGAACGACATCTCTATTTGAAAAAAATATCCTTCAA